CCGTCTCCAAAGATGCCCCACCAAGGTTCAATGACAAAGACCACCTCCCCCAGCACGAGGGGGCTTTAATTAAACATAGAAAAAAATTCCATTATTTTAAAAACAATTTAATGATTAAAATATCAAATATTTATTTAATAAAAATGCAGTATTGTTTTGATTATTTACATAACTTTTATAACTAAAGTTTTATATTTAATCTATTAGTTTGCGAAATAGAACAAAATGTGAAGTTTGTAAATCTCTATAAAAAATCTTAGTGATAAATCAACGTGTTGCCAAACATTATAGTATGTTAAATTTCAGCCAGTACAAAGGATGAGATGCAATCATGGTGGGGGATTACCGTGATCTGAAGATATGGAACTGGAGGTGATAAGGAGATAATGGTTGACCATTGAATTGAAAAAGGTATGAATTTGGTGTACACGGTTAGTGTTAAAATGGGTATGATTAAAGAGATGCATGATATCAATGAAAGAGGGGGTGGTAGAATGAGAATATTATGAGGATAAGGAGGATAGATAACGAATGCCATGAATAGAAATGCTAATGAAGTGATCAGAAGGAATAGAAAGATAAATGTTATCTTTATATAAATTGTTCAGGGCTTTTCAATTATTCAAGTGGTATATATTTTCCTGTTTTCTATGCATAATTTGTTATTATGCATCTGTGTTTTATATATATATATATATATATATATATATATATATATATATATATATATATATATATATATATATTAATTTTAAAAGGGTAGACCACTTTAAGGTTCCAATAGTTATAATTTATTTCACCAGAGATTTTAATTTTCTGAATATTCAGACTTCACTTTCAATGGAGAAAGTGAAGTCTGAAGATACTGAGAAAAATAAAATCTCTGGTGAAATAAATTATAACTAACAGAACCTTAAAGTGGTTTTTTTTTTTTTCTTTAAATTAAATTATTCACTCTGACTTAACATTGAGCTCTCTGGATTTCACCTCGGGATTATCTATACGGATTACTGAGATTTTAGTTACTCATATATATATATATATATATATATATATATATATATATATAAGTAAAGAAATAATATATATATATATATATATATATATATATATATATATATATATATATATATATATATATATCATTAAGTAGTTCAAATCCCCAATAATATATATATGTTTGCGTGTGTGTATGTGTGTGTGACTTGCCCTCGTTCGCCGATTGAGCACTATAGGAAATGGAATCTTTAAGAGTAGCTGCTCATGGCTATAGTTAGTACACTCATGCGCTACGATACAGCTAAACAGGCTTCTATGTGGATCTGTGTGTGGGTGTATATATATATATATATATATATATATATATATATATATATATATGATGAAGATATTGTTTAGAAAGACGACCAACCTTCGCTACACTAATTTTTTGACCATAGACTTTTCCACACATTTTGAGAAAAAAGGCATCTCATAGGAAAGGATTCGCAAATATGTCGTACGTATTGCCGCACACATTACATTATTAGCTATTATTGCATTATTAATCAATACGATTAAAAAGTTCCTTGACTAATCTCTTGTTCCATTGTTTTCTTTGGAATAATATTAAGACAGAACAACGAGATGAAACGACCATTATAATAAAATATAGTTTGAAGTTAAGCTATATTTCGGAATAAAAGTGTTCAACGACAGGAATGGAGCGTATTTAAAACACAGGCACATGAATAAATCTAAAGATATATGCACGCAAATATAAGAATGACATAGGGTATAGAAGAAAACGAGGAAAAGAGAAACGAAAGAAAGTAAAAAGGGGAAAAGAAAAAAAATATCAAAATTTAAAGATAAAAGGGGAAAAGAAGAAACGGATAAAACGTAAAAAGGAAATTACAACCCAAAAAGCGTGTACAAGGTAAAAGAAACATATAAGCAACCATACATCCGTTCTCATATGGAAATAAGCAAACTCGACAAGATTTAAGCCCGCATATAAACCTAAAACGACACCAACTACTATTTGCTCTACTCTCTGATTTGCGCAATCTTTTAAGAATACTGTTTTTTGCTTATTGGAATTTTATTCCGTTTAACCCCATCCTATACTTGGTATATTATATATATATATATATATATATATATATATATATATATATATATATATATATATATGAAAATTTGTCCGATTTAATCGGTAGAAAAGACAATATTTATGAATAAAAATGACAATAGGAAAACTGGTAATTGCTGACGCGTTTCGTCCAATGTGGACTTTATCAAAGCAAAATACGAAAATGAAATTAAATGAACAAAGTAACTAATAAAAAGAGAATTTTGCTTTGATAAAGTCCACATTGGACGAAACGCGTCAGCAATTACCAGTTTTCCTATTGTCATTTTTATTTAAAAATATATATATATATATATATATATATATATATATATATATATATATATATATATATATTCGAACTCGGCTCTGCGATTCCTCAATCCAAGCCGCTATCCATTACTCCAGTCGAATCCATTACATTCACTTACGTGCTAATACCGTTGGGAAAGGTATGAATCCTCTTCTAGATTTTCCCGGAGGAGTAATTGATAGTGGCTTGGATTGAGGAATCGGGGAGCCGAGTTCAAATTCCAGTCGAATCCATTACATTCACTTACGTGCTAATACCCTTGGGAAAGGTATGAATCCTCTTCCTCTCCCTCCAGCTATGGGTAAAATAGCAGGACAGACTGGGTTCTAAAGCCTTGGATGGCAACTGGTCTCGGAGAAGGACAACTCTGAATTCAAAACCTGGGGAGGGTCGTTTGGGAACCTTCTGACATTCGGTGCACCAGGTCTCTGTATTCGTCCTTTCAAAAAGTGTGGATGGTCCTGCACGAAGCCTTCACCGCTATAATCAAATCTCATGTGCCGGTGTCGGGATGTCGGTTTCCTGGAAACTGATCTGCTTGACCCTCATACGTCGAATCTCGACGGGAGAGTCGATTAGCACGACCTGGAGTTCAATGCATTTGATGTAATCTTCAGGTATGAACACAATGTGACCGTCAATTCGCGTTCTCGCGGTGATGATACAAAATTTTCTGTTTTTTTTTCTTTTCTTTTTTTTTTTTTTAAGCGTTTCACCCCAAGCAAGGCGGGAAGCCACTAGGACGCAAGGGGTTAAGGAAAATTTAGAGCAAGATCAGATAGGAGTGATAGAAGAAAGGATAAGGAAAAGGGTAGTTGATAGATCAAGGCAACTGGAGATGTCGATTGACATTACACTTGAATAGCTGAAGATTATAGCTCTCAAGGAAACTGGAATAAGGAAGGGACTTCCACAGGCGAGAGGTGCGAGGCATGAAGCTATTAGAGTAGAAGAGACGGCTACATTAAGAGTTTCGACAGTGAAGGGGTGAGAGCCGGATGCCAGCCTCGTATGGCGCTTGAACTTATGACGTCTGGGAACCATCGAATGCAGCTCCTCGGAGCAATTGCCATGAAAGTATTTGTAAAACAGACAGAGAGAGGCGAAGGTGCGTCTGTGAGAAAGTGACTGTAGACGAGACGCCAGGGCAGGGCCAACTATATTGCAAATCCGCCTCTGGAGCCTATCAAGAACCAAAATTGTTTATTTATTATTGTTGCCTAAAATATTAGAATTAAATAATAATAATGTATATCAATCAAATTCATACGTCCAAAAAGCTAAGAAATAAAAAAAATTACAGAAATGAAAATAATGAAAAAAAAAAAAAACCTAAATTATTTAAATTTAAATTTGGATTGAAAAGTAAACAAAATATCAACAAAAATATTATAGTAATATCAAATAATAAAACTAATACCCAGGGTGGAAATATAATGTAACGGTATAAATAAAAAAAAAAACTAATAGGTTGTCCCTATCTAACTCATGTTTTTGGAATCAAGCCTTGTACCTATAACAACAAATTATATAATCACAAGTTATATAAAGACATGTTAACAAAGTAATATAATAAATGCTATTAATGATGCGTTATAAGAATATTAAAAGTTGTTACGTATTATATTAATATTCATGAAATCTATTTTATAATCTTTTTTAAACGGGGTCGATGTATTTTAGCAGGTGTTTGAATTTATGGATACATGTATGTATTAATTTTGACCTCGTGTTTAGCAGTGTTATTTAACAAGGCGTGTTATTTAAGGGTTTATGCAGCTTCTCCAACAAACACAACTTACATCTGTCTCCCTTTCCATTGTATGGTTTAGCTTTCGAGTTTATTTCCCAGCTAATGGTCCCCCCCATATATATATATATATATATATATATATATATATATATATATATATATATATAGTAATTAGTAGGAGGATTTGATAATGATATTTAATTAATTCATCGAGTCTGATAGAAACCTCTACAGAATGCAGGAAGCACTGGACGGCCGTTTCGTCCTATATTTGGGACTCATCAGCAGTGCGCATCCACTACCGAGAATTGAAACCCCTCCAGTTGGTAGCGGCTTGGTGAGAGTAGTCGTGGCTCCCGGGGGCACAGTCCTATGGTCACAGAGAACTCAGTTGAGTTCCGCCACGGAATATGTGAGCGAGCGGCGCTTAGTTGACTCTGATTTGGAATCTCTTCGTCACCGAGGCCCACTTGGAACAGTTGGTATGATGTCAGTTTAACAACCTAACTGTCAGGGTTTCAATTCTCGGTAGTGGATGCGCACTGCTGATGAGTCCCAAATATAGGACGAAACGGCCGTCCAGTGCTTCCTGCATTCTGTAGAGGTTTTATCAGACTCGATGAATTAATTAAATATATATATATATAAACATTACTAACAGACAAGGATAATTTACACTCATTGCTTCATTTCCTTTTTGAGGTGAGTGTAATTTCGAACAGAACACCTTATTTCGTCCACCGGGTTAGATGTCCACGTGTCATGTCACTTTCGTTTTGATATTTGCTTATCTGTTTCCACTGTAGCACTTGTCCATACGTATGTGTTCAAGCGCTTTCAGTAATTATTCTTTATTTTCAAGTTACAAAATAAATAATTTCATCCAACACAATTTGACAAAATCATTAAGACACTACTAAGTGCGAAAGACTCTGAGAAAAAAAAAAAAACGTTAAGACGTGATTGCTTTGTTTTTTACGGCTTTTCAGCCCTTTGCAGACTGTTTAAAGCTAGAAAATATTCTTACATTGCAAGACTATTTGAGTTATAATAATGTTTTACTGATAAATATTTTACTAATTAACCCTTAGATGGGGAGAAGAGATAGATTCTTACTTTTTTCAAGGATATCTGCATGTAAATGAATATAACAAAGCCAAATGGAATTGGAAAATATCTAATTAGAAATTCCGCGCCATTATCCATTACAGCACGCGCCCACCCATAAACCAATAAGAAAAATTAGGCATCAGATTAAATCAATTAAGATTCTCCATTGTTTACATTGATTTTCACAGTTAACATTAAGAATATATTTGAGCGCTCTTAAATTTAAAGGAAAAGTAGCCAGCCATTGGTATACGAGCAGTTTCTGAAAAGCGGTTTTCCCAAACCACTTCACAGAATATGTATATATTATGAAACTTACAGCCACATCACGTTGAAAGACTCTTTCTTGTACAATCACTGAAGTTAAGCAACGTCGATCCTGGTCAGTTACTAGATAGGTGACCACTTCCGAATACCAGGTTATGGGTGGGGGTGTGAGGTTTAATTGATCAGAATTGTTAATCGGTGTGCCGAGTTCCAAATTTCAGATCGATTTCTTATATTCACTTATACTAAATACCCTTGGAAAAAGTATGAATCCAACTCTTCTCCCCCAGCTATGGGTTAATTAGTAACTCTTATATTGCTTGATCATTATTGCTGATAAAAAAATGCTTACAGTCTAAAAATATTTCCTGGATTTAAATAATATACAAAGTGTTGATTAGCCGTAGAAAACGAATTCAAAGAAAAAAAAAACATTCTGCTTTTAGTGGCTTCATGTCGGTCGATCCTCTATCTGTCTATATATCTATATATATATATTATGAAACTTACAGCCACATCATTTCATCAAAAGCAATTCGTCAAAATCACTAAGACGCTACTGAGTGTGAAACACTCTGAGAAAAAAAAAAACAAAAAACATTAAGACGTGACCCTAATTACCCCCTTTTCTATTTACATTATCTTAATTAAGATAGTGATTTGAATTCTTAATTTCTCCATCAAGTAAAATATATATATATATATATATATATGAATGTGTGTATATATATATATCTGTGAATGTCTGTGTGTTTTATCCATGTTTTTATATATATATATATATATATATATATATATATATATATATATATGTGTGTGTGTGTGTGTGTGTGTGTGTGTGTGTGTGTGTGTCTATCTCAATCTTTTAAAATCTATCTATATGTTTCAGTCTAGCTATCTATCTATATATCTCTGTCTAGCTATCTATCTGTCAATCTATCACAGTTTTTTTAAATGTCTATCTATCTATCTATCTATCTATCTATAAATATATATATATATATAAATATATATATATATATATATATATATGTATATATATATCAACCTATCTATCTCAGTCCTTTAATATCTATTTGTCTCTCTCTCTATATATATACATATGCCCATCAATTTTTTAAATATCTATCTAGCTAGCTAGCTATCATTATAGCTGTCTGTCTCATTTTAATATCGATCTCATTCTCTCTCTCTCTTTCTCTATCTATCTATCTATCTATCTATCTATCTATCTATCTATCTATCTATCTATCTATCTGTGTTTTCCAATCTTTATATGAACTTTTCTTGTTTGTCGAATGGATAACTAACACAGTATTTTTTACCTAAAGGGAAAATACCCCCTTCTCTATTTACAATATCTTAATTAAGATAGTGATTTGAATTCACAATTTCTCCATCAAGGAATAATATTTTGCCTACTGGAACATCTCCTCAAATACAACCCAACCCCTAACAATGAAGGCGCCTAATTTCGCAGGATCACTCTCTTACACTCCTTACTCTCCTCATTTTTTTACTCTCCTTGCACTCACTGGCCTGAGGTCATGTCTCTGTAATAATTCATCATTTATTAACATTTTTTTTGTTTAGTTATTATTTTTTCCACAGCGAATTAATCCCCTCAATACAAAATAGCAAAGGAAACTTTTTCTACCACCTACAAGGTAGGTGTTTATACGTAAAACAACAACGTACCTGTCTTGGCGTTTTTTTTTTTTTTTTTTTTTTGTTTTTTTTTCATGTTGATTAGCAATGGCAAAACAAGCAATGTGTTTTCAATTAAATAAGTGGATAATCCCAAGTAAGAGTAAAAGCTCCCAGCTCAAGCTGAAATAATATTTGCCTGGACTCTAGAAAACATGCACTCAGTTCTGCTGGTATATTCTGTCCTTTCGGGAAACTAATTTCAATCGTTTTTTAACGTCTCGTCATGAATGTGAAAGCTTTCGACGCAACGAAACGTCAGCAAATAATTGTCAGCTGCTTCTTTGAACATCATGAATAGATAGTCAGAGTCCATCTTACACGTTTACAAATCTACCATTCATCTCTGCGTTGGATACTGTTACCATATCTGGTCTGGTGCTCCTGCTATTCATCTCGAGGTTCTTGACTAAATCCAAAGAAGAATCTAAAATGTAATCGATATCTGATTTGGAATGTCGACAATATTCTTTCTTACCGACGTGACGTATCTTCCCTCTGTCATTTCTACAAATATTTTCATGGCAACCGCTCTGATGACCATTTTCTCTCCTGCCCCGATTGCATGAATTTAAGCTTGCTACTAGATTGGCATCTACAACCCACGTGTTTATGGTTGAAATAGCTAAATGCAACCACCACATCCACTGCAACAGTTTCTTTTCTCGCAAAATAAATTGTGTTAACGGTTTCTTTTCTAACACTAAGGTCTGCTCAAGTTGGCTCTGTCGGTATAGAACAAACACAAATGTGTTTGAGCGTCCTCTGAATTAACCGCCCTAGCAGATGGGCATCCTCGAATATATATATATATATATATATATATATATATATATATATATATATATATATATAATATAGAAATATTTTAAGGTGTGCTATATTTATGGGATAAAGTGCTCAATATCAGAGATAGAGCGTGCGTAAATATAAATATCAAAGTGAACATTGAAGTCAACACTCAGAGGGGACAGGCTGTTTCATGTTAGACGCAATTGTCAGGCGGCATGGCGATTGCGTCTAGCATTAAACAACCTGTCGCTTCTGAGTGTTGACTTCAATGTTCAGTTTCATATATATATATATATATATATATATATATATATATATATATGTGTGTATATATACACACACACACACACACACACATATATATATATATATATATATATATATATATATATATATATTCGAGGATACCCGTCTATTAGGGCGGCTAGCCAATTCCTAACACTGAGGCTTGCTCAAATACATTTGTGTTTGATACACACTCACAAAGCCAACCTGTGGTTTATACTGCAACTATGCTGAGCAGACCTTAGTTACAGTTTCTGGGAAAGAGCATGTCATCTAGCGTGATCAACAATTTGACACAAGGCCAGCACGTTCAAGCCGTCGGGCACGATGACTTGTGGCTTTGTACTAGCATAGCTATCGACAGATCTCAAGAGTTCTGTCTACCCAATTTCCTTGAGTCAACCCATGGTGTGGTTTTTAGGCACTTTCCAAATGTCCCGCACGCTGGGATCGACCTCGGTCCAGTCTGATAACATCAGGAAGTTTCCTTCCTCCCAAATCGACCATATAACGTCATCCACAGACAGACTGTTTCGCTGTTTCACAGCTCATCAGTGTGGCTGGACATCCGGTAGCTAGGATCGAAACCCGACTGAATTGGTGTCAGTCGGAGATTCTAACAATTAAGCCGTCGGGATGAAAGTGGATTTTTAGCGTATTTATTTTTAGAAACACGCCCAGTGACCGACAGTGACTCAATTCGCATCTGCGAAGAGTCTCGCTATATAGCTATAATAGTCACTGTTTACCAACCCACACCTCCTCCCCAGAGAGCTCAAACACTAAACATTATTTACATTATTCGGGCTATTGTCCTCATCTTTGTCACCATATTTAGTTGTACGCTCCGGCCTTCTTCAGGTGGTTGGAATGTCGAACTGAACCCTTTGTTTCGCTCACTGGGGTAGACTGTTCTAGATCCACGTTTAATGGATGTCAGTTATCAGTTATCTCCTGTTAATTTCCCTCTGAAAGTTCTCCACTGCCTTAACCAGGTATCACTGGATCTAACCAACTGTGCCATATGTCCTTGAGGACATCTGGGTATGAATTTCTGGGTATTATAAACCTACAATGACACATGGCACAGTGGATAAAGGCGTTGGCTAGAATCTTGCACTACTTGTCTAAAATTCATCCTTGCATTGAATATTGCTGCCATTTCTGGACTGCTTCTTCTGTTTTATATGTAGAAGCTTTTGATAAAAATTTAAAAAAAGAATCTGCTACGTTATCGGCTCCGAACTGGCATCTTGGCTTCAGTCACTTTCTCGCTTCTATAATCTAACTTCCTTTTTTGCTTTACTATAAATATTTTCATAACAATTTATCTGTGAAGCTTTCTTCTTTGCTACATCGACCTTCACGAAATTAAACGCAGCACTAGATTGGTAGTTAGGTCTCATCATTTGATTGTTGAAATTGTCCCCTTGAACCATTTTGTTTTATTTTCTTCTCAGATCCTTTCACTGTTAATAGTGCCTTGGGTCGTACTGGCTTTTATCGACTTGCCAGGGCTTCATTTTAGGAAAAGTAAAGTAATTGAATTTTGATGATTGTGGATCCCTTTCATATAAAATATTGTCCGGAATTTTACAGATTATAGCTTTTCATAAAAATTATTTCTAGAGCCCATAATAAGGAAGAAAACTTAGAAAATTTAACACTCTCAGGTCCTATTGAAAGCAAGAACGGCATAGAAATACTGTACATAACTTACCTAGCGACATTGAGTCAATGATTGGTACAAAAGGGGTTTAGGAGAGATAGCTAAAATATTAAAAAAAAATTAACATTTTACCGGTGAAATGGTTAGATATACCATCAAGTTTTATGCTAAGTTTCTTCTATCGAGATTCCCGTTTGGGGAAATCTCTTCTTGTTTCGAGCTTTCAAATCAAGATTGATCTTCGAAAATGTAAATACAGTGTCAATCGTCGTCTTCTGCCTTCTAAAATATTGTTATTTTATTGTGCTCTCTCCGTAATAATAGTTTTTTTCTCCTATTCGCTAGCAATGCGCCCTAGTGGCTTTATTTCCTTGCATGTGATTATATGATTAACAGAGAGACATAGCAAAAAGACAAATGTAATTAAGAGCTACAACGGAAAGACAATTGTAGCAAAGCATGATTAATATTCTTCTGAAGTGACACGACAAGCAGAATACTAAACAATGAAAAAGTTAAACAAGAACAATAATGAACTCTGTTAATGTTGAAACTTGAATAAAGCATGGAATAATAATAATAATACAACACAAAATGTAATTAAACAAAATGTATTGACACAAGAACGTGTGCACAATATTTACAGCTAGTTTGGTATATTCTTGGGAAGACCGTTCCTGTAGAATGGGTTGATTTAGTCGCAGTCGGGCAGAGTCTCTGGATTGGATCTCTTCTCCCCCCCCCGTCTTCCCGGTACCAACCATATTTATATGGTCGGTACTCCACTATGCAAATTAGGTGATCCTACCACAACAGTTAAATATCTTATGAATTAATGGATTTCCTTTTTAATACAACATTATTTCCATTTTACTGTAAACCTTATTTATGGCTATATAATCTGAATTAATCCGATAACGAAAAGACTACTGAATTGTTACGTAATATCAATCCTCCTATTTGACTGTGAATGCTGGTCAATCTCTTCACAGATGAAGTGCTGAAAGTAATATCAAGGCTGTGAGCCATCTCTTCACAGATGAAGAAGAGGAAATGAAAATAGAAAAGAGTGCTGAATTGTTACGTAATATCAATCCTCCTATATGACTGTGAATGCTGGTCAATCTCTTCACAGATGAAGAAGAGGCTTGAGCCATGAGAAATAGAAAAGAGTGCTGAATTGTTACGTAAAGTCAATCCTTCTATATGACTACGAATGCTGATGAATCTCTTTACAGATGAAGAAGAGACTTGAAGCAACAGAAACAAAGAAAAGAGTGCTGAATTCTTACATAATGTCAATTTTTGTCTATGACTGTGAATGCTGGTCAACCTCTTCGCAGTTGAAGAAGAGACTTGAAAAAATAGAAGCAAACAAAAGAGTACTGAACTGTTATGTAATATCAGCCCTCCTCTAAGGCACTGAGTGTGGAACAATCTCCTCACATGAAGAAGAGACCTGAAGCAACAGAAAATAGGAAAGATTACTGAATTGTGATGTAATATCAGTTCTCTTCACTGACAGTGCGTGTTGGACAATCTCCTCAGAGATGAAGAAGAGACTTGAAGCAACAGAAACAAAGAAAAGGGTACTGAATTGTTAAGCAATATCAGTCTCCCTATATAACTGTGAATGCTGGTCAACCTCTTCCCAGTTGAAGAAGAAACTTGAAGCAACAGGTTTGAGTTTCTACAGGAGGATGCTGAGAATATCATGATCCGAACATGTGAGCAACGACGAAGCTTTAAATAAAATGCAAACCAAAAAGACATACTTAACGTCAGGAAGTGAGTGTAAATATCTAGA